TGACTCGATACATTTTCCTTTTTTTTAGAGTTTTTCCTTTCTATATAATCCATCAAATGCGAAGAAGTATTGGGGAAGTGATTAGAAGAAATATAATTTAACTTAAGACTAGATACATTTTCCTTTTTTTTTTTTTAGAGTTTCTCCTTTCTATATAATCCACCACATGCGAAGAAGTATTGGGGAAGTGATTAGACAGGACATGACACACTTGTAGCTTACTGATGATATGACCCTAGATAGGATATGGGTCAAGGATTAGGGTAGAAGGCTTGATTCTTCGACAACTAAATTAGTTCTATGATGTGTGTATTTACAACAGAGATGAAACTGATGATTTGCTGGAAGTAAACACTACACAATGCCTGCATAGTTATAGCAAAAGGGAGATCTATCAGTTTGTAACATCAACATGTTTGGCTTGTCTTTGCAGCAGCACAATTTTCCAGCCATTTTCAACTTCGGTGAAGTCTTCTTTCGTGCCCCTGCTGGTCCAAACTTAAAAGTCTAAAACCAGTCATTCAATTCCAAAGCATACCATATGTTGTGGTCTTACAAAATCAAAGTTTCAGTCTTAAAAAAGGAAATTAAATTAATGTTTACAATCTGGCTAATATTAAAAGTCAAAAACAGTCCCTTTGCTCCTTTCCCATCCCCGTATGGGTTCTTCATTCCTTCACAAAATCAAGGTTTATTACTCACCAAAATCCATCAAGATTTAGTCATAGATGTGAAAGAACCTGTAAAAAAGAAGAAAAAATGTCAGCCATATATTGATACTGAAACACAGTACATCTTTATCATCTCCACAAGCTACAATATAGGAAAATAGATTAGAATTTTCACATCGTGAATAAACTAAAAAGTCATCACAGAACCAATGAGTTTTGGATTTCTCATTGGAACTTAATTTTTAGATCTAAAACTCCAAGAGAAGTACTGTTGCCAACAAAAGAGAAACCAGAAAAACTTTAAAATTTAGCAAGAAACCAGAAAGTACCTGAGGCAACTTGCAATTAGAAATCAAGAATGAGGAAATCCTTGAGCAAAAAAATTTGTCAGTTACAATTAACCTACGATATAGGTCCTAGTCAAATTACGCACTCATAAATTCAAAATAATTTATAAGTACTAGTTAAGATACGAGCTAAATGTAGGGCAGAATCCGTGAATCAAAACATGATGAAGAACGTGCAATAACCTTTAGGCTGCCCTAATATACAAGAGGATAAAAAGGGTAGATAACAAATCATAAGAGAGTATCTAACCTGAAATTAGCGATTTGAGATAGTCAGACTCAGATTAGATGGTGGTTGTTTGGCTATTCTTGTGTGGCTGTTCAGTGTTCTAGGAAGAAATGGTGGGCAAAAGAATCCTAATGAATACCGAACGGTATTAGTAAATTTCACCGAATACTGTATGCCAGAAATTTTACTCCGAATACCGTACTGAAAACCATATTACCAAAATTATTTGTCCGGTTTGGTAATTCGTTTTTGGTGATATATGCCCTGCCCTAGCTTCACTATATTTCCTTTCCCTACTTGATTTTATTATGCTTTACTTGAGCTGAGGGTCTATTGGAAACAACCTCTTTACCTTCACAAGGTAGGGGTAAGGTTGCGTACACACTACCCTCCCCGAACCCCACTTTTGTGATTATACTGGGTATGTTGTGTATATAAACCTTTAAATAGCCTCTGGAATTGCATTCTAGACCGTTGAGTGAACATCCCGTAGACCCCTTTTTTTTACCAACCTTGTAGAAGCTCCCGTGTCTCTCTTGGCATAGTCAACTTTAGACCCAAAATATTTAAAAACATGTCCCACAATTCTGTAGTAATCTTGCAATGCATAAAAAGATGGTTTGCATCTTCTTACTTCTCTTCTCAGAGAGGGAATACACTAAATTGGATCTTGCCTTCTGCAGCTTGTCGGAAAGGATGCTTTAGCTGAAACAGATAAGATTACCTTGGAAACTGCAAAACTTTTAAGGGAGGACTACCTTGCACAAAATGCTTTTACGCCGTAAGTTGTATAAATCAATGGTGATGCCTTATTCTGGAAGGAATTGGATTGTCATGGACTCACTTTTTTTTTTGCCTTATGACAGATATGATAAGTTCTGCCCTTTCTACAAATCTGTTTGGATGTTGCGCAACATCATCCACTTCTATAACTTGGCCAACCAGGTAAGATAGTTTAGCATTCACTGCATTAAAATTTTCCTTCTGTATTTCCTTCATACTGCATTCTTCTCATTCCTATAGATAATGGTATGTACTGATGATGATTGTTATTTTTATGCTCTTACATCTCCTTTTGTCACATTTAGTTAGATTCTAGGTAGCTTTTGAAACATTGTCACTTGAGACCAGTAAGTAGAGAAAATTGAATTTTGGGATTCCCTTGTAACATTTTCTGTTATAATCTTTTGCACAGGCCGTTGAACGAGGAGCTGGTATGGATGGACAGAAAATCACTTACACTCTCATTAAGCACCGTCTAGGAGATTTGTTCTATCGTTTGGTGTAAGTTACTGCCTAGATATGGACTTTGTACTACGATATCATGTTACATTGTCTAGCAAATATGTCCCCAATGCTGCAACCAGTAAAAAAAATAAAAAAGATATCCCTATGCTTCCAGTTTAATACATTGCCTGTCCTTGCCCCTTTTGACCATTCTTCCTGTTTTTTTACACCTCGATTTCTCACAGGTCCCAAAAGTTTGAGGATCCAGCTGAAGGAGAGGATGTTCTGGTGGGCAAGTTTCAGAAGCTTCATGATGATTTGGTTGCTGGTTTCCGCAACCTTGAGGACGAGACTCGATAATTTTGATTTGCTGAAATGTGCAGTTTTGTAGGGATCGACCAAATTCTTGAGAAGCAAATAATTCTGTGGTCTTCTACAATGTAAGAACACATCAAGTCAGTTGTGTGCAGTTTTCCACAATGGACGTCTGGATCCATGAAATTAAAATGGAAAAAAAGAATGTGTGTTTGCTCAGTAGTCTTTTGTATGGTTGCTGTATCTCTTTTTATCCAATAGCATGGCGAATGACCGGGTCATTTAGGTAATGTTATCTTTAGTTTTGAGTTTATCACGAGATTTGAAGAATAAAGCTGCGATTGTGAATTTATACCTAAGTGATATTACTTGGGTACAATGTTTGTTTGTTCTTTAATTTATTGAACGGATGTGCAATAATTAATAATAAGGTCTTGAGGGTGCACCTCTGATGATGCTGGTCTCCATTTGATTTTCATTTTCCAGTCTACTGTTAGTTATTTCAACATCTCAGTTTAGACAATTGAAAGCATACGCTTATGACAATATCAAGTAATATTTGGTGTTTTATCTCCAAGCAACGTTCATCAAAGCTTAGTTTTATTGGGTGTAGATGTGCCGGTTAGGAGGTGTGAGCTTGGCCGAAGTTGGCTTGAGGAGGAGTAGAGGTAGGCTTAAGAAGTATTGGAGTGAGTTGATTAGGTAGAACATGATGCGTCTTCAGAGGGTAGAATTTTAATTAGTAGTCAGGTGTATTTTGTTCCCTTTAGCATTATTCTTTATTTCCCTTCTTATAGACTTGTATCACTATTTGTTATGTAGGATTCTTTTTTTTTCATTGTTTGTTTAGTTGAGTCTTTCGAAAATAATCATTCTATCTTCCCAAAAGTAGGATAATGTTTATGTACACTATCTTTTTTAGACCTCATTAATGAAATTACATTGTATTTGTCGTTATTGTTCATCAAAGCTTAGGAGGCAACGACATTGAATAATGTAGTAGTCTCACTTAGTTTAGCTATGCATTTTAGCTCTATTGCCAGCCAAGTTAGGTCATAAGTTTGAGTTGCGAAAGCAATCATTAATAATAATATTTATTTTAGGGTAGATTTTTATGTCACAATCTTTAGGATATGGCTCTTCCTCGGATCTTGCTAACATATACAAAATGCTCTGTGTATTGAACTTTTATGTCTGCAAAGTGACTTCAAATCATCTTGTGTAATCCAGTGGCAAGCATGGATTTTCATCATCGGGCATAGAAAATGATCTCTACGTCTATGGGATTCAATAATTTAGATATATACTATTTTACCTGCCAAAGAGAGTAAAAAATAATCATAACATATGAATGGTCATAAATATCTTCCATCCACCTATTTATACAAGTAGCGTATTGAGAGCAAGTCACTTGCTATGATTAGAAAATCTATTTGTTACAAAAAAATAGATTATTACTAAATAATAAAAATTACAAGTGTGCATTACTAAAAAAGAATATCTGCAATTGAAATATTATCAAATAAAGAAAATTACAGTTATATGTTACTAACAAATTAGAACATAGAGAATATTCATATGATATTGTTCCTTATATGAACTTTAGAATAAGTACAAAAGTTACTTAAATGAAAGGAAAGTGAACAAATGCAATGTTACACCTTAAATTAAAACTATACATAAATGATTTTAATATTATTCTTCTCGAAAGAGAATCTATCAAATTTTGATCAATCATGAACGAGAAATCGTAATGTAATCGAATTTGATTAGGAATGTGCAAAATAAAATGAACCAAATTCTTATTAGCTACAAAAAATAATAATATAAAAACTCTTTTGTCTTATTTATTCTTATGAAAAATTTATATAACATGTACTTCGATTTAAAAAGGAACGTTTTTAAAAAATAATTCTTTTTTTTATAATACTTTAATTTCAACACTCTAATTAATATGTTTAAAGCCACAAGATTAATAAAATATTTTATATATATGACACAATTTTAATTTATAATTTTTTTTTCTTTTATCAATTTAGTGAATTTTTTCTTTTAAATTTCGTGTCAAGTTGAACTATGTCATTTTATTGAAACGGATAGAGCATCTTTTTTTTATATAATTAATTACTATTAATCACTATATTTATACCAAATCTATCCATATTTTTTTTTATGATTATATATGCAAAAATACAGGGGATTAAAAAAAAAACCCCTCTCACAAGTCCACTTACATGCTTCTCTTTTCTCGACGCTTTCTTCTTTCATGGACTCATCCTTCGCCCACAAACGACACTTGGACACCACCACCGCATTTGATACTTCCACTCCGACCACCAAGCGCCGCCACCAACTGCTGCCGTCCTCGGCAACTCCGCCGTCCAATTCCTTTCGTACACCACCACCACCGCCGCCATTTCTGAAACTCTCTCCCGGTGAAGCATTCTTCCGAATCCTCTGTCCGGCGGATAAAACCGGCGGTGTGATCGGAAAAGGTGGAGCCATAATCCGACAGCTCAGAGAGGAGACTGGTGCTAAGATTCGCATTGATGATTCACTAGCCGGCTGCGATGAGCGAGTTATCGTTGTTATAGCCGACTCAACGAAGAAAGATCAAACTAGCTCGGATGCTGGTGGTTTCAATGGTGAAGAATTACCTCATTCGGCTGTCAATGATGAGTCATCATCCCAGGCTCAGCGGGCGTTGATTAGAGTACTTGAGAGGATTTTGAAAGTGGATGAGGAGGGGAATGCGGTTCAATCGGAAGGAGAAGGGAGGAAGGATGAATTTAGCGATGTGAGGAGTCCACAGGGAGTGGTGGTTTGTAGGCTTTTAGCACCGAGTAATCAGGTTGGAAGCGTGCTGGGAAAAGGGGGAAAGATTATTGAGAAGATAAGACAGGAGACTGGAGCTCAAGTTAGGGTTTTGCCTAAAGATCATATGCCTGCTTGTGCATTACCGGGTGACGAGTTAATTCAGGCAATGCACTTTCTTCCTAATTTCCAGTTGTCTTGAATTCAATTATTTATTTGGTCACTTGCAGATTTCATGTTACTGTCTCTGAACACTTCTCTATGTACTGAAGTCAAGTTTTATGCTTGATTGGTAATTTTAGTCATGCTCATAACTTCCATGTACCTAAAGGAACACCAGAAGAAAGAGAGAATTCTCCCAATGTGTAATTAACTAAATACTCAAAAAAGCGGAATAAATGAAGTTCCTTTCTGATAGATTCTCTGCTGTCTTGTGTGCTCACCTGTCCAAAATAGTTTCACAGAGTATCCAAAATAGCGATTGGAGGAAGAGGTGGAATATAGATTAATATACTTGAGTTTGTAGAAATATGTTGAAATAATAATTGGAAAACAAAAAAAGGAGCCAGTAAAAATGTTACATCTAATTGAAAATATCACATAGCAGTATGTTTTCTCTCCAATTCACTATACAAAAGATTGTAATTTCTGTCTATTAAGGAAGTAAGTTATTTAGAACTGTCCAGAGTGGAAGCAGATCAAGAAAAGTTGAGTGAAGGGAGTATGTTTTTGGAAGTACGGAACTTGATTGAGTTGGAGGGAATGTACTGACTGATTTTATTAACCTTCATAACCAAAGTGCACTTGACAACATCCAAAGGGGACCCTTGGACGCTTACTCGGAGCGCAAGGAGGTGCATGCACGAGACAGAAAATCCACCTTACTTGCAAAGTACATATAGATAGAATAACAGAGATTTTACTATCATTTGATCCTTCCACCTCTAAGTTTGGCTCTCGTCACCTCAAAAGTTGATAAGAACAGTAGAATAATATCACCAACTCCTCAAGTTCCTAATCCTTCTATTCATTCTACAAGGCAGAGGTTAAAAGTATTGTTCTGACACCGAAGGTTAGACATTACAAAGCAATAACACAATGGAAATAAAAGATCAACATATCTCCAGCCATTGTCATGGTGTAGTCGGCAGTGGCGACGTTTGTCAGCCGTGTTTCGATGAGTCTTTCCTACTCTTAAGACCTTCTAAGCACTCAAAACCTCACTCTTAGATGGTATGGAGTTTGAAGAAGTAATGTGCTTAGGGACCCTTGAACCAAATGTCATATATATAATTGTGCTTCCATCAAGAACGGTTTTCAGCCGTTGTTGTGATGGACAACAATTTCTAAGAGGTTATGGGAAGTTTTACAACATGGAGAAGTTACCAACCTTTAGAATAGTGGGATAGGTCCATGTCATACAGGCCATTTCAGCAAATTGCTAACATTCGCTAACATTCTCCCACTTGGTTCGTGTATACTCTAATCCCATGAATGAAACATTATACACGATCATAGCGATATTTCCTCTAAAGATAAATAGTATCGTCCATGTATCACTATGCATTATGCATCTAAGCCTTAGCCCATATTACTTGATGAATAAACTCAATGTTTATTCTAGGTCCATAATTTAGCGACATTTCTCAAAATAAAGTGAATGTCCACACAATTACAAATACTAGAAATATCATATAAATAGAGTTTCAACAATATTTGTTGTTACAATGAAATTTGACATAGTGGAACTAAGTCCCATTGTGACTACATGATCCTTAAATATCTTCAATGGCATGCTTTTAGTTATAGGATCTGATGAATGACCACTTTCTAATCTTTAACATGTTCTGATATGGCTAAAAACTTGATGTCAATATGCTTGCTTTTGACTTCCACTTCAGTTATTCTTAGCCATAAAGACAACAACTGAATTGTCACACTTTAACTTTAATGGCATAGAGATAGAGTCGACAATTCTTAGCACAAATATGAAACTCTGCAACCATACATCATGTGAGGTAGCCTCAAAATAACAAACTCAACCTCCATAGTGGAAATAGTAATCAAAGTTTGCTTGGGCACTTCTCTAAGATATAGCTTCAACAGCTAATGTAAAAATGTATCTTGAAGTTTATTTCTGTGAATCAACACAGCCAGCAGCGTCAGAATCAGAGTAGCCAATGACTTCCAAGTCATCTGGTCGTTTGTACATAAGCATGTAGTCTTTTGTCCCTTGAAGATATCTTAAGACTTTCTTTGCAGCTCTTTGGTGGTCAAGACTTGTATTATTCTGATATCTTCCTAACATTCCAACAACAAATGCTATGTCAGGTCTTGTACAAACCTGAGCATACAAGTTTCCAACAATAGAAGCATATGGAATGTCCTTCATTTGTTCCCTCTCAAGATTGTTCGTCGGGCACTGATTCAAATTGAACTTGTCACCCTTTACAATAGGAGCTACACTTGGTGAACAATCTTTTATTCAAAATCTCTCTAAAATATTATTGAAATAGGCATATTGAGATAGACCTAAGGTGCCTTGATGTCTATCTCGATGATCTTAATGTCAATGACATAAGACGCATCACCCATGTCTTTCATATCAAAATTTTTAGAGGGAAATTGTTTCACTTTATGTATCATTCCCTAATCATTAGATGCAAGTAAAATATCATTCACATATAGAACTAAGAAACATATTTTACTCCCACTAACCTTCTGGTATATACATTGATCCATAATGTTCTCAACAAAGTCGAATGAAGAGATAACATTATGAAATTTTAAATACCATTGACGTGAGGCTTGTTTTAGTCAATAGATGGATTTCTTTGCTCACCATTTAAATACAACAAGTGCTCAACATTACTAGAGGAGAATCTGTCAATTTGTTCCATATGAACCTCTTCCTCTAGATTACCATTGAGAAATGCAATTTTACATCATTTGTTGCAATTATGAATCAAAATGGGCTACTAATACCAATATAATACGCAAGGAATCCATTTTAGACATAGGAGAAAAGGTCTCTGTGTAATCAATTCTTTCCTTTTGAGTGAATCCTTTAGCAACAAGTTTGAGATTCTTTCTTAACTTTAACATGTTTTCTGATGGCTAAAAACTTGATGTCGATATGCTTACTTCGACTTCCACTTTTGTTATCTTTGCCATGAAGACAACAGATGAATTGTCACAATTTAACTTTGATGGCTTGGTGATGAGATTCAATGCCTAGATATGGATACATCATGTGAGGTAGCCTCAAAATAAGAAACAAACTCAACCTCTATAGTGGAAGTAGTAATCAAAGTTTGTTTAACACTCCTCCAAGATATAATTTGGACATGCATAACATTATGAGTGGAATCATTTTGTAAATTAAGAGAGAAAAGACCATCAGACAATGTAACATATCCAATAAGTTTAGATTTATAAAATAGATTGGAATTGTCTTTTCAAAAGAAGGAATATCCTAAAGGTACAAGTCTTGATACTAAAATTAAACTCCTAGAAAGTTAGGAACATAAAAGGCTTTTTCTAACTCTAAAATGAAACCACTACTAAGAACTAAATTACATGTCCCAATAGCTTCCACATGCGACTGCATCATGTTTCCTGAATTGACGCTTTAGCTCCCACTGACTTACGCAGGTTTCTTAAATCCTACAAGGAGTTCGTAATATGAATTGTAGAAGCAATATCAATTCACCATGTATTTTTTTTTTTTTTGAGAAATTCACCACGTGTTATGATTAACATCAATCATATTAGCTTCATAGCAAACAAGAGAGATTGAAGTACATTTCATCACAAGCCATTGTTGATACTTGACAAAATCCGGCTTTATGTGCCCTTTCTTTCTACATAAGCGACCTTGGGATTCTTTCTTGATGCAAGTTTCAAGTGGTGCCTTTCCTTTCCATTTCTTATTGGCTTGATAGGTCTTCTTTTCTTGAGTAGTCATGAATGCACTTTCTCCTGCTTCCTCGACCTTCCTCTTGAGCACACTTGCAATAAGTTCATTAATAGACCATATATCCTTATGTGTAAGAGATCTTACTGTGCAGGCAGAGTATTCAATGTATAGTGCACACGAAAAGTTTCAGACATTACGACCTCAAAAGTCTTTAGTTGAGCCTCTTAGTCTCGCATCTTTATGATGTGCTCACGCATACCTCTCACACTGATGAGCTTCATTGATGAGCATTTCATAATTAAGGTGCTGGCAAATACCTTATTTGAAGTTTCAAATTGTTCATCAATAGCCTTTAGTAATGCCTTGACATTGTTATACTAACAGAATCACGAATACCAGCAAAGATTTTGGTCTTAATGAACATAACACTTAAACGGTTGGAGTACTCCCATTGTTCACGAAGACCAATCTCATCTTGAGTGTTGATTTCATTAATAGATGGTTCTTCTTTCCTTATAGCATAATCAATATCCATGCACCCTAAGTGAAGGAAAATTCTCTCCTTCTCGATCTCATAGTTCTCACCATTCAGTTCAGGAATATTTGTGATAAATTTGCAAGTTGCATAACTGCAAAAATATACGTACATACTTGACATAAATTTGAGGCAAATAATAGAAAATTGAATCTACGGACATAAAATTGCTTGTGGGCTAAATTTTAATTCAACCTTATGATAAAGTTATCAATTTACTAACATGATATTCTTATCTTTATGATAAAACTATTAGACTCTCATTCATGATTCATGTGTGTAATTATGAGAAGCATTTAATATTTTATCCTAATTATATATGCGACCCAAATAACCCGTCAGGGTGGCCCAGTGGTTTGGTCTTGGGACTTTCATGTTGGAGGTCTCAAGTTCGAAATCCCTTGCCAACGGAAGCAAAGGGTTTGCCTTTTGGCTCGAGCTCATCGCACCGGGCTTGCCTAGTGCGGGTTACCTCTCCAGTCTGGTTTGCGAGCTATTGCATAGGAGCAAGAGTTATATCCCGTGCGTACCCAAAGGGTAGTGACTGCAAGTTTCCCTTATCATAAAAATATATGTCACCCTATAATAAAGGTTTTTGAGTTATTCTATCGTGCATAATTTATCACAATTCTAATGTCTAAAGTTTCTTTATGTGATCCTTAACTTTAAAATTTTATTCAATTAAAGATGTTGTGGCGAATCTTCAATCAAATAAAATTATAGTTACTCGGACATTAATCCTTATTTAATATGTATAATTTCCTTATTTGATCCAATATTATTTAACCAAGATAATTGTGGCTAATCTCAATCAAACAAAATTATAAGAACCACTGGACATTAAATCAAAATCTTATACAAGATTTATTGCTGAACATTATGCAATGAACTTAAATTTCACGTTCTTAAATATGAATATGGAAAGAGACACAAATATTACATACAGTAGACATAATAATTAATTAAGTACATAATAGTGAATCAGCTAGGACCACCTTGCAAGGGTAAATACTCCTGGGTGGCTTATAGCGAAGTAGTACCGTGAGGGTGAAGCAGTCAATTGAGTTCCGAACGAATTAGCTCCTTGGTTTTAAAACATGATGAATTGCATATGATCGAAACCCCTTGCCAACGGAAGCAAGGGGTTTGCCTTCTAGGTCAAGCTCGTCGCACCGGGCTTGCGTAGTGCGGGTTGCCTCTCCTGTGTGGTTTGCTAGCTATTGCATAGGAGCGGGGGTTTTATCTTGTGCGCACCAAAGTGTAGCAGCTGTGGGTTTCCTTGTCTCAATTTCAAGAAAGGCAACTCCAACAGATAAATCATTTATCTTTATTAAGCCCAAACATAATTAAGTAACTGCATAAATATAATAAAACAAAATTAGAGACCTAACTAGTTGCGTGACCCACTGACACACTGAAACCAAAACGGCAGTCTCTTTGCCTTTTATTATTACTTTATTAGTTTACGTTACATAAATAAAAGACAAAAAGTTATAACTGACTGTGGGTGCATTACACGAATAAAGGCAAAACTTCAAGACTTCAACCACAGTGCAACACTTAAAACACACTATATAGGTTGCTTTCTTCCTCTTGACGGGTCATTCGACCCGTTTGAAAACTTAGTTCGTGTTCACCTGTTAAAGACACCAAAAACAACATATAAAATTGAAGATTGCTAGAAAATCGATTTTCATAAGATCTCTACCATTAGAATACTTCAAAAGTTTCAAAACAAGATCTAAAATTAAGACTAGTTTTAGTGGTTTTTAGAAATTCCAAAAATCAAACAAGCAGAGGTTAAAAGTATTGCTCTGATACCAAATGTTATACATCGCAGAGCAATAGTGTATCAGAAATAAATGATCAACATACCTCCATCCATTGTCACGGAGTAGTCGGAGTCAGCGGCGTTTTTCAGCCGTGTTCCGGTGAGTCTTTTCTACTCCAAAGACCTTTTAAGCACTCAGAACCTCACTCTTAGATGGTATGGAGTTCAAAGAGGTAATTTGTTTAGACCTTTCCCCAGGAGCCAGTCCCACTAGTGCTAGTATCAATAGGAAGATCTCACTTCTGTTTACTCAGACGCCTCTTTCTTAGCGAAGGGACCCTTGACCCAAATGTCATATATATAACCGTGCTTCTATCAAGGATGATTTTCAGCAGTTGTTGTGATGGACAGCAGTTTCTAAGGGCTTATGGGAAGTTTTACAACATGGGGAAATTACCAACCTTTAGAATAGTGGGATAGGTCCATGCTTCTCTATTCCTTCTACATCTTTATTTTTTCTAATTGCACCACCAGAGCAGGCTGATTTAGTAGATGACAAACAGATGCGGTAGTCGATCCTTTTAAACAACTACCAGAGACCAAGTGTGCTCCCGATAATCCAATACCTCTACCTAATACTGAGTAATTCTGCTACAAGTATATGTGTGTATGTCTGTGAGGATTATATGGAATTATGTTATTATAGCAGAGGCACATGCCGGGTTCATTTCTTAGCTTTATATGAGATTGATTTTTGTTCATTTCATTGATTATCTCTGTTTTGCTTGTATGATTACGTTACTCTGTATATGGTTTTGACCGTTGAGGGGATATCTTTGTGTGCAGATAACTGGAAGCTTTTCAACTGTGAGAAAAGCTCTGTTGTCTGTTTCAAGCTGCCTTCAGGATAACTCTAGGGTAGATTTAGTAAATCCCTCTACCCCCAAATTTTCAGGGATGTCACAAAATGGAACTGGTTATCACACACCCGAGCAGTTCTCGAGGAGTTCTGGTGTTGAGAGTGCTGGAATCAACCACAGGATGGTCTTGGAGGAAGAGGTCGTGTTTAAGGTGTTATGTCCGGTTGACAAGGTTGGAAATTTGATAGGAAAAGGTGGCTCAATTATTAGGGTGATGCAGACTGAAACTGGTGCATCTGTCAAGGTTGCTGATTCAGCATCTGATTTAGATGAAAGAATGGTTGTGATATCTGCAAGAGAGGTGCGTAGGCTGACCATTAACTAAGCAACTGTTTCTGCCTATTCTCACAGACCCACTTGCATTTCCTACGTTAAAGTGAATTGCTCACTTCTTTTTTGTGTCACTTCGCTGTCATATTATCTGCTGCATAGAGTCAATTTGTAGATTTTTTAACTTATTCAGTTGATAATGGTGTCAGAAGGAACTGGTGTTGATCTTTTAACCTCGCTACTCTATCCTTGCAAATCTTTATTGAGATCAGCTTCTTTGTTATTCCTGCAGAACCTGGAGCAAAGACATTCCCCTGCTCAGGAAGCTCTTATGCGTGTCCAGGGCAGAATTGCTGAGATTGGATTTGAACCAGGAGCTGCAGTTGTATCAAGGCTTCTGGTACATGCACGTCACATGAGTTGTCTCTTTGGTAATGGAGGTATCCTAATTGCTGAATTACGACGAGTCACTGGTGCTAGCATTCGTATTTTCCCCAGAGAACAATCTCCAAAATACGGCTCCCACACAGAAGAAGTTTTACAGGTAGATACAGATTTTCCTTGAAGTTTATTCTAAAATATATGTAAGACTTCACGTCTCAGCTAGGTTGTCTTTGAGTGGTTGTCTGGAATTTTTTCAATATGCGTTATATAGCTTAGTTATATATATGGTACCGCAGCTATATAACTCATTGCCTGGAATTTTCTCTTTGGGTTGTTTGGGGGTGGGGTAGGGGTGGGGGGAGTTGTTACATTGAGGTTAGTGTTCTGATAGAGAAATCATTGTGTTTTGTTGATGATCATTGGAGATACATATTTTCTGTTTCTGTATTTGTTAGATTTCCTGACTACACTTTATATGCTGTTTTGTATTTGTTAGATTTCTAGTAGATAAATATCTATCTAAAGTGATTGCATTTCTACCTCTATATAACTTGCAATTCTTGGGGGAAGGGGTGGGGAGGGAGTAGCATTTATGATGCAAGTTAGTATTTAGATAGACTGGTCAAAGTGTTTCATTGATGATCATCAAAGAGACGTGTTTTCCATGTCTGTGTTTTGTATTTACTACATGAACTTGTATCTCATATAAATTGAGTTGCATTCTGTCTCACTTGGTGGAACTTACCTTCACAAGAGCTATGTGAAAAAGATAAATGAGAAGGAGTGCAACCTTGTTATCTTCCTTTCATGTGTGTTTTTTACTGAGGGAATTTTGCCAATTGGCTCCTGTTGTTTGAATTCTCTACAGGTCATTGGGAGCATGCAGTCTGTCCAGGATGCTTTGTTCCAAATTACTTGTAGGCTTCGTGATGCAATGTTTCCTGTGAAACCACATGTTTCAACTATTGCCCCTCCGCATTTCCCCCCTTACTCTGAAATTCCATCCCCATCATACAGGCCAAGGCACGATCCTGCTTCTCCTAGTTACCACTCACCTATTGGCTACCCTCACGGTATGAAACATACTTGGTAATCCACCCAAACGGTATGAACTGTTGCCTGCAATTTTACATGATTTAGACTGTAATGTTTTATTCAGATCGTGCTCCCCATTTCTATGGCTATGAGAGACAAGGGCATGCTCCGTATTTTGATAGACCTCCTTCACCTGGAAGATGGGGTCCTCAGGTTTGTTGGGGCTCTTTCCAGTAAACATAAATTATTGATACGTTTTTATGACAGGGTTGCATTTCTGACTATTTACTTTCCTACTTTGCTGTTTTATCCAGGCAGTCAATTCTAGAAATACAGCTGGAGTGGCGGATTGTAGCAGTGCCAGGTAACTTGTTTTCCTCTGCCTGGATCTAATGTATTAGGTTGCTTAGGATCACTACAAATAACTTGAAGCCATCCATTGAATCTCCCAGGGGAGTGCTGGGTTGGGTGTACTAAAGGGATACTGGTTTCCCTGTTGGTGCAGGACTCACCAGTTTCTGATTTACTTGGGTAAACTTATTTCTTTTTGGGGCAACTAGTGTGATCTTCCTTGTGCAGCTTTAAGTGAGAGTAGTGGGGAATTAGTTGGTCGCAACTTAATTAGGTTCATCGCAGTCTACAGCCATGACGCTAATGATGCATAAATGATTTTCAGATGCTAATATGAATTTAAAAGCTATCCAGAAGGATGAACTCAATTCACTATTTTCCATTTCTGTTGGGAAAGTTATATATCTTGGTATGCACAACCTAGACAAACCATGTAAAAGAACTTGTATCCATGTGGAAGCAAGTTAAGAGGTGGTCATAAAAGAGTCGGCATAGAGGATATGCTATTGCAGTCGTCAAATTCTGTTAAACTAGGTTTTGGCAGCTGGACCTTTATAAAAATTGGGTAAACGTTAGTATGTAGCTCTGCCGTTTGAGCTGGATGAGGGTAGGTCTGTTAAGTTCTTCACTTTCCTGTAATTTGCATTTAAGTTGTAAAGTTCTTATAAACAGGGTTTGTAGATAGATACATATATTACATTATGAGATATCCTTTGCTGAAAAGTAAAACAATGCTACTTAGGATGGGGATGTTGTATTTAGAGGGAGCGTCTCTTGTAAGAATAATATCCACCTAATACTTCAAAGGCAAGTCAGTAAATGTTTGCAGTGCTTACGGGTCAACTGTTTTAAGAGTTGAGTTGTAAAGTTTGTGTTGGAGATAATTTTGGTCCTTAATTAAAACTTGACAATAGTATAAGAAGTCTGTTGGAGATACTTGAGGTGCTCGATTCGTTGCTAGTGGGATTAAAGAGAAAGGGGTGTAAATCTGAACAATTGACTTGAAAGTTCTTGGACCTACATTCCTCCTATTTTTTCTTAATTGATTCGTATTCTTGTTTAATTTGTCCTTTATCGTTTCCCTTATCCACTATGTAAAACTATCTGTTGCAGTGAGGCAGCACCTAATTTGCCAGGGACTACTGTTGAAGTTGTAATTCCTGAAATGTATATAAAATATGTTTATGGAGAGGATTCTAGCAACCTTCATCATACAAGCAGGGTAGGTCAGTTTGCTCTAGGAAACTCTGTTTTTCTTATAGGTAAGGTAAGTTAACATTTGTATTTGGTATTCAGATTTCAGGTGCTAAGGTAGTAATTCATGATCCTGTAGCTGGTTCTGCATACGGCTCTGCTATTTTGTCAGGGACGAAAGATCAAGTGGAATATGCTCAGACCCTTATTCATGCCTTCATCTATGCTGAGAAGGGGGACACATAGAGCTTGTTTCTTACCATGATCCTAGAGGTAGCGTATGCGGTGGTCTGTTTTTCTCTTGCAATTCAGTTGACATGTATTTGTGATGGTAAAATAATTGTTGGAACATGTAGGAAGAACATAGTGTAAACATTAACAAAGTGGAAAGACGGAGAATGCAGCAGCTATTTGGGAATGGAAAAAGTCAGCTATGCCTGTTTTTTTCATCATATTTTTTATGTTAGGAGTATTTTACAGGCAAAAATAATGTAGTATATGTAAATGTTAAAAGCAACGTGCACATGAATTTGTCAGTTCATTTGATTCTTATAGGAACACAATTATGTGGTTCTGTAAGCTATACAATGCAGGTGTATCTTTCTATTATTAGTTTCAAATTCTGATATTTTCCTTTGACTAGATATATATATATATATATATATATATAGGGAGTAAAATGTGTTGATAGTATTTTCAGATTATTATTTTTAGTTTTATGTCCGTATAAAAAATATGAAAAGATCATTAATATTGTTTGGCGAGTGCCGATAAGTACTATGGAGAGTGAAGCCTAGTTTTTTTTTAAAATCAAATACTCCTAGTTTCTAATGTTAAAAGATGTCACTCTTTTAGAATAGACTAAAAAGAAAAGAGTCGTACATACAATAAAATAATTGGGAGTGGTATATGTGTAATAGAGGAAGTAAAGACTAGAAGATTGATTAAGGTGTTTATTTAGTAGATAAAATATTACATCAAATCTTAAAATTTGATTATTATTATTATTTTGAATACGTAAAAAGTTATGTAGAATTATAATGAAATTAAATATTTTAAAATAAAAAATCGTCATATGAATTGTTACAAGTAGTGAATTTTTTCCTTTGGTATTTTCATTTTCCTTAACTTCTCTTCCCCACATGGAGTAGGAGCATATGATTCGTCGTATGAAAGCATTAATCATAGAAATAGACACGTACAAAGAGTTCATTAAGTAACAAGTCTTTTCACTATTTATTTCGAGACGGTGACACTCACAAAAAAGTCAAAAATCAATTTTTTTAGTAAAATAATAATATATTCAGTGCAATACTATAAGAGCCCGTTTGGCCATGAAATCATGATATGGTATCATGATATGGAATCATGAGATGAAATTGAAGGTTTGTTTGGACATGCGATATGGAATTTTTGTGTTGTATATTTTCTCATAAACATAAAAATTCCATAAGTTGTAAAACTATTAAAATAGCCCCAATTGTTTATTCAATCTTATCAAATAAACAAAAATTATAAAATCGCATAATAAATTATTACAAAGTTATTTGTTCTTCAGTTAAATAATTGTTTCATCTAACTTTAATTTAATTAAAAAAAATTGAACATAAATTGTACTTGATATGTTCATATCTCTCAACTACTCTTACAAATAACCTATAAAGTAGAAAAAAAACATACATTAGTGAGTAAATATTAACTTAGAAGTTAAATGCACTAAGATAAAAATTAACAAACATCACTAACTTCTAACTATTTACAAGAAAAATCAATAGTTAAATATTATTGAATAACGAAATTTTAAAAAGTTACCACAAGTTTGAGTCAAAAACACTTCTAATAAAATTTAATCAAAAAAATTATAACTAGTCCACTTAACTAAATATTAATAACTAATTGATCAAATTTTCCTAAGTCCTCAATCAATTGGACTTGATATCCTTCAGTCATGTGAACGAACATTTTGCAAATACTAAGATTAAGAAAGTGCGGCATCGCCAATGAAATTTGTCTTTTATCAATATTATGCTTAGTCATAAGATTAGGACGTTTTTTTTTATTATGAAAAATCAAAAAAGTATTACTCCCTTTGTTCTCATTTATATTCACCAAATGAATTTCTACTTTATCATTTATATTCACCAAATTTAAAGTGATAATAAATTTTATATTGGTGAGAATAATAAATTTTAAAAAGTAATGATGTGATTATAAATTTTATTTACATATGAAACAAATGGTTAGTAGATATAAATGTGGGGTTGTTTTAACAAAATATAAACTCATGGATCAATTATTGTATTAAAATATCTCAAATCATGATATGAAATCACATGGTGATTCCATATCATGGTTTTTGGAGAATATGGTATCACCTCTCATGATATGGAATCATGAGATGAAATCAGCGTAAAATCGCATGTCCAAACGCTGATTTCATCTCACGACACCATATCGTAATATGATATCGCATGGCCAAACGCCTACTAAGTGAAGTGATTTATTTTCCTCTATCTAGTAAATCCCGCATTTATCTTTAGTAATAACAATTGTTTTTTTAACAAGAGAGGTTTATAGTTATTCCTCAATTTTTGACAAAGTAAACAATTACCCTTAGTTAGAGCTCCATTAGAGGTCAAAAGTGGCAAAAATGAGACTTTTTTCCTAATAATTTGGCAATTTTCCGTTCCTTAAAGTTATTCAATTTCGAATATCACCAAATAAAATTGACCATTTTCAGTTTTCATTCCTCGTTGCTTTCGCCCCCAACTAAAACATATTCCCCTCCGACTCAAATTAAGTGTTATCTTAGTAAAAAAATATGTTTATTGAAAAATCAATTAGATTACTTAACTATTTTTATTTAGTAAATATCTCTTGAAAATTGAATACTATAAAAAAGATAAAGTATAAAGGTATATAATAAAACCTCACTAAATTAATACAAGTGAGATCATAAAATTTATTTAATCAATAAATTAATATTTATTGACTTAAAGAGTGTTTTGAGATTCAATGAAGATTAATTTTGATTATATCAAAATCATTGTATCTTACTAATTTATGTATCATATTTATTGAATTTACATAAAAAAATATTTTACACCATCTTACTAAATTATGTATTGTATTTATTGAATTTATATGAGAAAAATAATTCATTATACATAATGTACAATATATGTGTATGATTTATTGTAATATATATTTTTGGTTAAATAATTCTTTATAAAATAAATTTCATTGTCTCTTAATAATAAAATATTAGTATTCATTATATTTTCACTAAAAATATTCAATGTATTATTATATAAGCAACAAAGTAAATTTATTGAAGTCATATTCAAAAATGTCTTTTCATTTAAAATTTGTCATATATCAACAATGACATTTGTTTTTCATCTTCTAATAACAACATAGTAACTAGACTTTCTGGATTAAAAACAGCAAACGTGATTCGATGATTAGCAATAATCTCTTGGCTGTAATGTGTTAAAAGCCAACACTCGTGTGTAATTCAAAAGATTTTAAGCTTTTGTTCTCAAGCATAACAAGTGATGGTTCTTCCTTTATCGCTCAAGTGTGTGTGTAGTAAAGCTATATTATACTTACATTGCCAAATTGAACTGTTTCTACTCTTTTGCTTTTGCTTAACTGCATGCTTTTTTGTTAAACTTTTCTTTCTTTTCCTTTGCGTGGAATGTGGTTCTTAGTAGGCGTTTGGCCATGCGATACGATATGGTATCGTGAGATGCATGGAATCAGCGTTTGGACATGCGATTTTATGCCGATTTCATCTCATGAGATGTGATTCCATATTCTCCAAAAACCATTATATGGTAATTCCATATTATGATTTGAGATATTTTAATATAAAAATTGATCCACGAGTTTATATTTTGTTAAAACAATCCCACATTTATATCTACTAATCATTTATTTCATATGTAAATAAAATTTATAATCACATCATTACTTTTTAAAATTTATTATTGTCACCGACATAAAATTTATTATTCTCACCAACATATAATCACTTTAACTCACACCAACCGATTGTTAAAGTGATGAAATATTTATGGTCTATGAGCATGAAAATATAGTTGCGGATGATATTGACCAACAAATGGCTCAAAGTAACAATGTTGGTTCGTCTTCTCGGTCACATGACTGAGAAATGCAAGTTCAACGTGAGGAAATTGTCCGTACTATGTGGAAGAATTATATTAAAGACTAGTACACTACAATTTATGTTCAATTTTTTTTATTAAATTAAAGTTAGATGAAACAATTACTTAAGTTGGAGAACAAATAACTTTGTAATAATTTATTATACGATTTTATAATATTTTGTTTATTTGATAAGATCAAATAAACAATTGGAGCTATTTTAATAATTTGACAACTTATGAGATTTTTATGTTTATGAAAAAATATACAACACAAAAATTTCATATCGCATGTCCAAACAAAACTTCAATTTCATCTCATGATTCTATATCTGATACCATATCATAATTTCATATCATGATACCATATTGCATGGCCAAACGGCCCTTAGATTGCCTTTAGAAAATAAGATGAAGAGGAAATAGACCTCTATGATCAAGTAGGCAACTTGCAGCGAGTAAAACAAAAGTATGCGTTTACCAAACCCAATCCAACCAAAAAAAAAAAAGAGAAGAAATTACTGATTTTAGTCAATTCTACTTTTTTGTGGCTATAAAAGAAAGAAATTCCCCTATTGACTTGACGTTGGCGAAATGATCTGGTGGACTCTTACTTAAGTTTGTATTGTGAACCCTTCTATTAATTGAAATAGTAAAGTAATTAATAAATTGAGATGGAGGTTAATATATATTATAGAGTATACTGCTCCCTTCATTTCAAGAATTACACATTTCTACCTTTAGTAAGAATTTAATTTTAAAATGCTCATTTTATTTCTAATAAAATAAATTAGGGGTCACACAAACATGTATGATTTATTTTAGATCACAAGTTTTCAAATTTTTTAATTTCTTTTATAAATTTCGTATAAAATTCAAACTAACTCATATAAATTGAAAAGTGGGAGTGCACAATATCACTACATATCTTATCGTCTTTTACTTAAATTGGAAAAAATAAATTTATAACTACAAATCTTTAAAAACATTCGATGTATGATGGTAATGAAATAAATTATATAAGCAACAAAGAAAATTTCTTGAAATCATATTTAAAAATGTCTTTTCATCTAAAATTTGTCATAAAATCAACAATGACAGTTATTTTGAAATAATTTTTTTTCTTATTAGGTAACACTATTTTGAAATTGAAGGAGTATTTTGAAATTTTCCTTAACAGATTTATTATGGCAAAAAGGATTTGCTCATAAAAAGGAGGAACAACGGCAAAAGAAGAAAACATTACCAAGAATAGCCCTTTAAAAGTGAGCCAAACAAGGAAATTTCTTGGCTTACAAATAATGAACGGTTTGGGAGGAAAAAAAAAAATAGAAGTATCGAAAATATTCTAAAGTTGAGGTAAATTATTAGTTTTGTCCTTTAACTATTGACAGTCTTAAAAATACTCCTCTGCTTAATTAACTAAATTTAGATACGCCCCCAATATACTCCCGATTTGCCACATGACATAGCAAGTGGTCTCAAACTCTTGTAGGAGCATGTGACTCATAATAAAAAATCGAGAGAAGTGCTGAAAATATTCCTAAACTTGACCAGAATTTAGGATTGTATTTCAATCGGAGGTGCATTTAAGTTCGGTTAGCGAAGTAAATTGGTGTTTTTAAGGTTATAAATAGTTCAGAATGAAACTAAAAATTCACGTCAAATTTAGGGGTGTTATCAATATTTCTCCAAAGTAAAAAACCAAAAACACAAGCAAAAGGCAATTACAAGTAACTATTAACAATAAAAAAAACAAGTGTACATTGATATTTAAGCACATTCTCCTTAAAGTGATCTACCTTTTGTTTTCTTGTTTTGGCAGTGAAGTTTGGTTATCATTTGTTGAGTTTGGTAAACAAAACAACATAATATAAATTACTCACTTTAACACAAGATTTCTCAAGAAAAAAAAAAAAGATGGATGACATTGAAAAGATCAAAGCTACAAGAGAACTTCTCAAGTGTAGTATAGAGAAATCAAGAAAATTAGGAGTTGAAATTAGTGAAAGATGTTGGAGATTAGAGAGTTGTGAACAAAGGCTTGATTTTTTATCATTTGCTCTTAGAGACTTATCATGTAAATGTACATTATATAAGATGAGTACTCATGATGTTGATAGAGTCATTGGTCCTGCTTCTTCTGTTGTTATGATATTTGATGTTATATGTGGATTTGAAAAATCTCTTTCAACTGATGATGTTTCTGATGATGTGTTATCTTATCTCACAACTGTTAAACGGATGGAAGAAGCACTCGGTTTACTCACCAATAACTGTAAACTAGTCGTGTCTTGGCTTGATACCAGTAGTTGTTGTGATTCATCTTGGTATGTTAGGAAAGTGAACAAGTGTTTGAGTATAGTTAGAGGATTGCAGGGTACTGAGGAACGTTATCGTGCCAAAGGTGGAGCGTTGATGATTGCGTTAGACAAGGTGGAGATTGAATTCGCGTCTATGTTAAGGGGCATAACACCATTGTCTGTGGCTTTGCCTGATGTTATTCGAAATGTGCAAGGTGTTATTGAGAGATTGGGTGTGAATGGTCGGGTTGAGAAATGTATGTCTGTCTATGTTGAGGTTCGGAGTTTAAACGTGAGGAAAGCTTTAGAAGGGTTCGATTTGGATTACCTGGAGGAGATATCATTGACAGAGTTTGACAGTGTTTTGAGTGTAGAGCATTATATTGATCAATGGGACAAACACTTGGAATTTGTTGTGAAATATTTGTTAGACACAGAACACAGGCTTTGCATTGAGGTGTTCCGTAAAGCAGCATTTAAGGATAGATGTATGGAGTGCTTTGCAAGAGTTGCAGTCCAATCTGGGATTCATTCTTTCATCAAATTTGGCAACATGATTACGGAAGGTAAGAAAGAAGCAATCAAACTGTTGAAGCTTTTGAACATGTTTGGTTCTCTAAACAAACTACGATCCGATTTCAACAGGCTTTTCAGTGGAAGTGCCTGTGGTGAAATCCAAACTCAGACAAGGGATCTGATCAAGAATGTTGTGAATGGGACTTGTGAAATATTTTGGGAACTTTCACTTCAGGTGGAACTGCAGAGGACAACTAGTCCTCCGGTGGATGGTAGTGTTCCGGGGCTGGTTAACTTTGTCGTTGAGTATTGTAATCAGCTGCTTGAGGATGAATATTGGTCCACACTTATCCAAGTTGTGGAGATACATCAAGGTTGGAACCACGAGAGCTTCGAAAAGGGGCTTCTTCTAAATGAAATGCAGAACATAGTAACAGCACTTGGGCTCAATATAGAAACTTGGGCAAAGAGACACGAGGACGCCTCTCTTTCATCTTTCTTCTTGATGAACAACCATTGGTACTTGTGCAACTACACGAGGGGAACGAAACTAGGTGAGCTAATGGGAAATGAATGGGTTACAGGTCACGAGGAATACATGGAGTACTGCGAGACAATCTATTTGAAAGAGAGCTGGGAGAAACTCCCAGCCCTTTTAAACGAGGAAGGCCTAGTGTTGTTCCCAGGAGGTAGAGCCATTGATCGACAAGTAGTTAAAAAGAAACTCAAGGAATTCACTGAGGCCTTCGATGAAATTTACAAGAAACAATCCAATTGGGAATTGTGTGACAAGGGGCTAAGATGGAGAATACGCCAACTTGTATTGCACGTTGTCCTTCCTTCTTACAGTAGTTACCTGGAAAAATACGCGTCCTCCATAGAATTTGAGGTTACTAGTACTGCAGGTCAACGCGTAAAATACACAGCTAAGACCTTGGGAAATATGATCACTTGTCTATTTGAACCAAAAGTGGGAAAATATGACAGTAGCACCAAATGCACAGAATTGAGTGACAAGGTAAACAATAGCTTTGTTACTAATCAACTTTCCTCCACACCAGCAGCAGCATGAATTAGAAAGCTGTCAACAATTACTCGAAAGGTGATTAGTTCATCGATAACTCCTCTTACATAAAGTCGATTAGTTTTCCAACCTTTAATCCTGAACAACTAGCTAGGTTGTTAATTGTACATGGTTTATGCATACACCTATTATCTTTTTAGGAGTATTATACTTCTCTAGGCAAAATTCTAAACTGATGATAATTATATGTTGTGTTATGTAATGTATATAACATTATAAATCCTATAATACTATGTTTTAATGGCTCAATTGCATGTTGTGTTCTGTTCTTACTAAGGTATTTGGTCTTTTTAACACAGGAAATTAAGTTGGTATCCTCTGTACATTTGGTATGTTAGTTCCAACCACCTTGAAACCTGACCATAACAAGTTTCTTTTTTAATTTAAAAGGTAAAGTTTTAGACTAACAACCTATGTTGTTCATGTCCTCCAAAGATGTTCCCTTACTCGTGTTAAATCCTTCTAAAATACAAGTGGTATTCAGGGGCGGAGCTAGAAGTCTGGATATGAGTTTTGGACGAACCTAGTAATTTTTACTTAAACAAAGTATTTGTATTAAGAAATTCATTAAGTATATACTCATTGAATTTAATCCACATAGAAAACATTTGTTACCACGCGCGTGAGATTTTTAAAAATTGTTGTGAAAAGTATCAAAATGACACAACAAACATCTACTATGGGATTTTTAAAATACGCAAGGTTTATTTGAGGTGCGTAAATGATTTGAATTGGAATCTTGAAAAGTTGTCAAAACAAATAGTAGATTATATGCGGAAAGAAGTTGAAATAAGATCAATTGTATATTGCAAATGAAAATTTGTTTATCCTAATAATTACTATCAAGTTTTCTGGATATTCAGAGCATTCATCTAATCGACATAAAAGTTCGACTCAGATGTATTATCTATGAAAGAGTTACTATCATACCATATAGCTTTATATAGAGTTTAAATCGTACAACAATTTATGAAGCAAATCAGGAATATACTTGTCATAATTCCAACAATATTAAATGAAGATGATATAATTCTATCAAAGAGTTGGAGGCGCAAATTAATCAAATAATTCATCAACTAATAATTTAACAAATCTTATCACATTGTACTACCTATTTTGAACCAAGATTCTATCCCATTATATTTTTCTAGTACAATTTTTAATGAAGTAGTTAACAATGTGTATTACTTGATACATGTATTATTTTTTCTTCATTTAAGATTTAGTCCATCAAACTTTTTTCTAGTAAAATTTTAACTCAATATTTACTAATAAACATTCAAGAGAGAGTGTTATAGCTACATTATATTGTGAATATTCATTACACAATTTTTTAGATAAGCTTGCAATTGGTCAAATTTACAATTAAACAGACAACTTGCAAGTAATTTATACACCATCTTCTATTCTTTTATAAATAAGAAGTCAATTCAATTTATTTGTACATCAAATAATTCTATTTTTTTCCTCTCAACATTTTTGACTATATTTCTTGTTGTCTTGATATTTTATCTTTATTTTCATCACACAATGTTCAAAAAAAAAAAACTCAAGATTCTTTTAAGAAAAAATGAAATCAATCACAAGGACCGAAATAAAAATTTAATGAGTAAGAACTAGGGGTAAATAAAATTAAAAATTAAAAAATAAAAAATAAAATTACAATTATCCCTTCCATTTTTTTTTCCTTAAGGGTGTTTTGGTAATCAAAATTGCGACCATTATACAAAAAGAGCAGGAAGAGCGATCGAGACTCGAGAGCGGCGGAGAAAAATGGCATCGAACGCAGCAGCACCATTCTGGAGATCAGCAGGGATGACTTACATAACCTACTCAAATCTCTGTGCTAATCTTGTTAGGAATTGCCTTAAGGAACCTTACAAGGCTGAAGCCCTTTCCCGTGAGAAGGTCCATTACTCCATCTCCAAATGGGCTGATGGCAAACCTCAGAAACCCAGTAAGCATTCTCACCTTTTTTTTCTTCATTAATGCTGCCAAATAGTATAGATCTTTGTGCCGAAGGGATTTTATTGGGATCTCTGTGTGTGTGAGGTTAGAGTTTTGAGATTTCTTCTTACATTTATATTCATTTGTATTTAATCGTCCTGTTGAGGTCGTAAACAGTGTTTTGTATCTATACTCCCTCGTTAGAATGAGTTATATACTGCAATTGCAGATCGGATAGTTAGGTCAATAATTTCTTAGGTTGTGTTTATGTTTACTATTACTCTTTTATGTGGAAGTTGGACTATGACAAGCAGCAATAACAATATACCCAGTGTAGTGGGGTCTAGAGAGGGTGGTGTGTACGCAGCTTCGTTCCTACCTTGTGAGAGGATGGAGAGGTTGTTTTTGATAGACCTTTGTTCAAATAACGCATAGAAAAGATAGTACAACAAGGAAATGTGTATTGATGAACCATGTAGAAAATATTGGAGAAAACAACAGTAGCAACAATGATTAAATGATAACTGAAACAAAAGAAACAAGAAGTAATAATAAAATTGAAGAATAAGGTAGAATGGGAGGAATAATGATAATGCTGAGAAGGAAAAATAGACAATGATCAACTAACAAGAATTTCTTATATTCACTTTTAGCTTTTGAATTGAACGTTCAGAGTCTTCTAGTTTCTGTGAAGGGTGATGATAGGATGTCATTGAGACACACTTTCATCTTGCCTTTATTTCCACAAGGATACAGATAGTCTCCTTTGTCGTAATAAGATTACAAATGGATACCTTTATCTTCATGCGGATATAGATCAATGATTTTTCCAAACTATCTGCAAGGTCATGTATCATAGCTCTTGATCATCAGTGATATTTATACTTTAATCCGTAAGCTATTGTCTACAAGCAAATCCATATTTCTGCCTCTCACTCTTCTCCACTTAAATACCAGGCCTTTTTAAACGGAAAAGTTTGAACCAGTGATGTGCGCCTAACCACACATCACACATTGCCCTCTTAAAGCCCTGGGGGCAGTACCATTAACCTGTCTCAAAATGTTATTTCTGTTGGTTTCATATGATCTAATAATTAAGACAACGTATTTAACGAGATTTGATGTCTTCAGTTTTTCACTTAATTTTAGTTTTGCTCTGCTAACTTTGCTATTTTGACTTTGCTCACATTGCCTGTATGAGGCCCGGATAAGGTAGGAGGTTTGTGGTTGTTTGGTAGCCAGTATAAAACTAACCAATTCATGATGAATCCTTACGATTCGAAGAGATGAATTTGCATTGGGAATTGGTGGGTAGCAGGGATTGATATAGCTGATATCTAGTTGTTTAAGACTGAGGCGTAGCAATTGTTTCTGTTGAAAAATGTATTCTCAGGTTGTTGAACTGTCCACCTTAATTTTCCTGTTTCCTCTTGTAAATATCCTCACTGACAAGCTTTGGTGTGAAGTGTGGGGTTAGATGTCATCACAACTACTCATAGATAGCCATATCCCAAAAGGTCATTGTGTCCATGTTTAGGGGTAATAGGGAACAAAGCTAGGTCATTATCTAATACATTTGTTCGGCAATAAACTCAAACATGAAGGAAACATGTTCAATGATTGACCTTTATTAGATTGTGAGTCTTTTACTTTCTTGACCACAATAAACATGCATTCACTGCATGACTAAGATTCAATTTTCCTTGACGACTTGGTGCATTCGTTTTCCTTCCCCCATAGTACAAGGTCGGTTTTTCGAACTTTCTGCTTAGACAATAGCAGCAGATAAAGTAAGAAGAAAATTAAATGATGATGCTACCTTCCACTACTAGTTGATGTTAATATGTAGGCTTAATACTCATATAGTTCTAATTGGAGTTTATACATGTTAAAACTGATAAATCAGTTGAATCTGTCAAGAATAGTTGAATTGTAGTTTATCCATTTTCCAACAAAAGAATTGTGTTTACAAGTTGTATGTAGCACTGATACTATATTGATTGTTAGATAATATTTTGGTAACAATGGTATCGTGTCTAGCTTGCACGTACTTTTGGTGAATTCACATGGTACATATTACACTTCCCATATAGATATTAAGTACGCCTTGCCTGCTCAGGTTTAGGTTTAAGTAGATGGGTGTATCCACATAGGAGACCTTAGTTCCCAAGGTTGTTACTCCTGTTCATTGAACTAGCGAGGATGATGGTGGATGAAAAGATTGCATGAAGGGAAAGGGGATGTGATATGTGGCCAATAAAAAAAAAAGTGAAGGCCATATGCTTGTATCCTATTGTCATTCTTTTTTTGGTTGAAGACAATTATTCATTTATAATATGAGGAGAATCCAGCATACAAGATGTAAATCCCATTGTCATTATATCCCTTTACTTTTTGCTTGGTGAAGAATACCCGAGTATCAGGTTCTTGTTTCAACATGATTACAGTGTGTTCTTTTTCCATTTTTGCAAGAGTCAAAAGGTGGGTTGGCTGGTCCGTTTATGTGTTCATTGCATACTTTTTATCTTGTTTTCATGGCAAAAGCTGCATCTTCGGTCTTCTAACAAATGCTTCTGCTGTTCTTTTTTACAGCCCTCCGCTCTGATACTCCTGAAGATTGAGAACAAGGGTGGATCTTGGGATTTGTTTTTGATGTTATATGAATTTTTGTACTGTCCTGGCACTGTACAGTGCTTGTCTCATGGACCTTGCATTAGCTATTCATCTTCTAATAACAACATAGTAACTAGACTTTCTGGATTGAAAACAGCAAACGTGATTCGATTATTAGCAATAATCTCTTGGCTGTAATGTCTTAAAAGCCAACACTCCTCTGTAATTCAAAAGATTTTAAGCTTTTGTTCTCAAGCATAACAAGTGATGATTCTTCCTTTATCGCTCAAGTGTGTGTGTAGTAAAGCTATATTATACTTACATTGCCAAATTGAACTGTTTTTGCTTAACTGCATGCTTTTTTGTTGAACTATTCTTTCTTTTCCTTTGCGTGGAATGTGAAATTCTGAGATTGCCTTGGAAAATAAGATATGAGAGGAAATAGACCTCTATGATCAAGTTGGCAACTTGAAGCGAGTAAAATAAAAGTATTATGCGTTTACCAACCCACCCCAAACAAAAAAAGGGAAGAAGAAATTACTGATTTTAGTCAAATTTTTGTGGCTATAAAAGAAAGAAATTCCCCTATTGACTTTGACGATTAAGAAAGTAATACTAATACTTTTTGAATCTTGTGTTATTATCTATGTTTAATGTATTAAAATGTCGTAAAAAAATTAATTTAAATAAATTGAACGATAAAGTAATTAATAAATTGGGACGGAGGTTAATATATTTATTATAGAGTATACTACTCCCTCCATTTCAAGGTTAATATATATATATATATTATAAAGTATACTACTCCGTCCATTTTAAGAATGACACATTTTAAAATACTCATTTTATCCCTAATAAAATAAATTAGGGGTCACACAAACCTGTATAATTTATTTTAGATCACACGTTTCAAATTTTTTCATTTCTTTTACAAATTTCGTGCAAAATTTAAACTAACTCATATAAGTTGAAACGCAGGAATACAATATCAGTACCTATCTTATCGTCTTTTACTTAAATTGGAAAAATATAAATTTATAACTACAAATCTTTAAAAAAAAAATTAGAATGAAATTAGGCGCTTCTTCGTAGAACCTTCTTCTTCCTCCCTGTCGCCGGCCTGTTAACGCTTCACGGACGGATTTTTCTATGTATTTATCTCTCTACTATTATACACTACACACACTATCTCTATACATATTTTTCTCCTAATTTATGTAATCTACTCAGCTTTGCTGTTCAAATCAGTACACGATTCGATTCGCCGATAGATTGTTTTATCTGGTAAATACAATTAACTGCAATTTTCCTTATGTATGTGTTTTTCTTGGTGTTTTTCTCACATTTTGTGAGAAATTTGATCTGGGTTTCTTATATTTTTTGTTTTTTTGTTTTGCTCAATTAGGGCCCCCCTTATGTGTCTGAGCATCTTACATTTGATTCATTGAGGTAATGTTAGTGAAATTATCAACTAATTTTTAGTTATGGGTTTACTGAAATTTAACCCAAGTTGTGATTTTTTTCAGCTGTATACAGTTGGCTCTTTTTTTGAAGTGTTGAGATGGGATCTGTAGGGGATAAGTTAGACATTGAATCTGATGAGGAGATCCCCTTTAGTTCATCTCATGCTACAAATAAGACAGAGAGTTTGCATTTTGAGTCAGCTCATATGGCTTCGCCTAGAAGTTTTTACTCGTCGAGAGTCTTGAGGAAGATGCATCAGATCAGCTATTTTAGGAGTATATACATTGTGATACTTAAAGCAAAGATCAATGTTTTGCTTCCTTTTGGACCATTGGCGATACTGCTACACTATCTTACGAAAAAACATGTAAAAAGTCTCAAGCTTTTGCTATTTACCTCAATTGAATTTATCTCTCTCTTATTTTTTGAACTTTATTTATTGGACTTTTCTTTGGATTCATCTTGATATTTCAGGAGTGGGTGTTTTTCTTCAGTTTGGTGGGCATTACACCCTTAGCTGAGCGTTTGGGTTATGTGACTGAGTATGCTTATGCTCTTCAAGTTATTCAGTTCTCCTCTGCTACTATGTTATTTTACATGCTCATTGACTTCTTTGATTGTCATGACACAGGCAGCTTGCATTCTATACAGGGCCTACAGGTAGCTATTATCTTTTGGTACTTTTGCCATTTTCTTGATCTTTGTTTCTATTATTGAGGAACTTTTCACCGTTGGGATTACTTATGGAGAGTATTAAGTTGAGGCACCCAAGAGTATGACATTGTGGTCAATAAATTGGGTTGAGAACCATGAGGTCTTTGAGTTTCAAATCCTGGTAGAGACAAAACACTAGATGATTTCTTTCCATCTTACAAACTTTAGTGAACAGTCAACAGAGTTACAACATACCAGTGCGGGTGGGAGGTAGTAGGTACCCATGAAATTAGTTGATGTGTAAGCAAGTTGTCCGGACACCATGATTCTAAAAGAAGAAGAAGAATTAAGTTTTGCTTGCTTAATCTTAGTGTTTAAGTTGAATGCGAATTCAGTCATAGAATAATGTGAAAATGTGAGTTAAATTTTGTTCTCACAGTGAAATTGAGTCATCAGGAAATTGAAACCCCTTGAAGTAATTTTTTGGATATTATCCTCCTTGACTTGAGTCACTAGATAGGATTTTCTTGTTCTCTATTTAAATGGTTTTATGGTTTTTCTGTACTTCTGTTGTTCTCATTGCCCTTTGCTGGAAGTATTTTAACATTTGCATTTACTCAAAGAGCTACTTTTCTTGTTGATCTTGTGTGAGACATAATTCCCCCTCCCCCCCACTACACTTCTTTTGATTATCAGAATGACTTTTCCTTATTTTTGATGTATAGTTGGGGGCCTTCTAAATGCTACATTTGGCAATGCGACTGAAATGATAATCTCATTATATGCATTGAATAATGGGATGATGAGGGTTGTTAAACAATCCTTACTGGGTTCCATTTTATCAAATATGCTCTTGGTGCTTGGATGTGCCTTCTTCTGTGGTGGGATTGCTCATCACCAGAAAGTCCAGGTTTTCAGTAAGGTCATTATCTTCTGATCAATCATGTCCTCACCAAATGTGCAATGAAGTTAGCACTTTTGTCTTTTGTGAATGTTGATACTTCAGTGGAATTTTGTATTATCTCAGCACCAATGTGCTCTCTCTAATGTTATATGCTAATGCTAATGAAAATCTTTAAATTGCAGGCAACTGCCCTCGTGAACTCAGGATTGTTATTGATGGCAGTCATGGGCTTATTATTTCCCGCTGTACTTCATTTCACCCACACAGAAGTGCATTTTGGGAAGTCAGAGCTGGCTCTTTCAAGATTTAGCAGTTGCATAATGCTGGTGGCATATGCAAGTTACCTATTTTTTCAGCTCAAGAGTCAACCAAATCTATATAGCTCAAACGATGAGGTAAATTGCTGAAAATCTTGGAATAGGTTGATAGTTTATTTCCTCTATTATTCAGCTTGTATTTCTCCGAGGTCGTCTGCAGCAATCGGCATTGACATTGTATGTCCTATCTAGTAATCGGATGCCTGTTATGAAGGATATAGGTTTGCAGCAGATTTCAGTTTTTTCAGATAAACTTGTACCATGATATGTGATTTTCATTCCAGCTTATGTTACTGCAGGATGTATTAGTTTGTTTCTAATTATTCTCTGATATCTGAACAGGATAGAGAGAATAATGCTGAAAATTCTGATGAAGAAGAGGCTCCCGAGATAACACAATGGGAAGCTATAGGGTGGCTTGCTATTTTGACAGTATGGATATCTGTGCTATCTGGGTATCTTGTTGATGCCATAGAGGTAACCTTTCCTTTCCTTTTGATTTATTAAATTTTTTGGCCCATGCCCTTTTTAACCAATTGGAGAGGCTAGGATTTTCTTGAAGTTGAATGCTAATATTCATGTGCTAACCTACAGAAGGTTTACCTTGAGATATTAATTATTACGTGTCATAGTTTTCCTTCACCTTATCTTTTCTCCTCTTTTGGTAATTAATTATCAAAAGCTATATAAATTTCGTTTAAGTTTTTTTGTTTTTTTGTATGTTCTTCATCCTAATTTGTTCCTGTTGCTAATACGATTTCAGGGAGCATCCGACTCAATGAACATGCCTGTGTCCTTTATTAGTGTCATCTTGCTTCCACTTGTAGGAAACGCTGCAGAACATGCAAGTGCAATCATGTTCGCAATGAAAGATAAGCTTGTGAGTTCTTGAAAAACCATATTCACTATCTCATTTTCCCAGAATAGGTTACTCAAGGAGTACTGTTTGCAGGACATTACACTTGGAGTTGCGATTGGGTCCTCTACTCAGATATCAATGTTTGTGGTAAGGTCTTATAATTTGATGCATTAATCATCTGAACTAGCTTATAAAAATTAGCCGATAACAAAGAAAATTAGTTCTTATTTTTTATTTAAATTCATGCAAGCCGTCCTAAGAACATACTGGATTTTTGTTTGTTTAATTTGTCCTTTTTGGTTGGTTTGTATTGGTGTAGTTAATTTGTAATTATCTAAAATTTATAATGGAGCTTGGTGGTCCATTTAACAAAAAATAAAAAATAGAGCTTGGTGTTCCATGTGGAAGGAAAGAAATGGGAGGTGTTTGAAGAAAAAGAAAGCTCTATTCAGAAGATCAAGAATTTTATTTTATTTTTGGTGTAAGCAGAATTGTTATAGTGAGCCATGGAATTGATAGATCTGATAGGTTCCCTCTAAGGAGAGAAGGGACATACTTGTGATATTAATCTGTAAATACATTTGTTTGCACCTTCTGGGTGCTATTTAAGTATTTATTAAAAGTTTATGATAGAGCTTATAAATCAAGTTGCTTATTCGTAGATCTCATGCTTTTGATGATGCAGATTCCATTTTGTGTTGTTGTTGGTTGGTTCATGGGTAAACCAATGGACTTGAACTTCCAATTGTTTGAGACTGCTACACTCTTTATCACAGTGCTAGTTGTGGCATTTATGCTGCAGGTTCGTCTTCTAACTTACATCCTTCTGGCACATCTCCTCCTCCCCTGCAAATCAGACAATTGAATAAAATAGATGATGTTGTTCAGTCTACTCCCTACCCTAAACTACTCAGCCACGAAAGGCTTGCTACTAACTATAATTGTTGCTTTACACGATGCAGGAAGGAACATCAAACTATTTTAAGGGGTTGATGCTTATCCTATGCTATCTTATTGTTGCAGCAAGTTTCTTTGTACATGTTGATCCATCCAAAGGTTAGTAGGATTCTTTCCCTCTATAGTC